AAAGTCTTATGGGTTTGAACTGACACGAGGATGAGTAAATGATTTTTCAGAATTTTCAGTTTTGAGTGAATTATCAATTTGGGTTTCCATCTCGTCTGGTCCTTCTCTTTCATATTTGGTTTTCTTTTTTGTTTTCCTTATCCATGTTATATTGTTTTCTGTGAAAACGTACACCGCTATCTGCATTAACAAATAACGTGACCATGGCAGCAGTCGATTTTTTTAATGGCAAAACCTGGGTCGCTGTCGTGAAACACTTAACGGTTTCCCTTTGCTAAGGGAAGTATTTAAGGGATTATATGCAACACCCTTAAGTCAATCCCTTAGGTAAGGGGAAATCACGCCTTAAGTCTCAGGGGGTAACTGCGGTTCAGACAGTAATAGAAACCAGTAACTGTTAGAACTGTTATGGAGGGGGAAAAAATAAATAAGTTCACAATAAGGTCACTGTTGGGGAAAATATAAGTAAAAATAAATAAATAGCAGTATGTACTGAAAAATCACTAGAGAGTGATGTAATAAATACTAGTAACTACTGGAATTAGTACTAGTCCAATAAATATCCAATTAAAATTAATTAAACTTGAAATTGAAAGGATACTAGCCAGTACTGGATTACTTACTAGTAATTACGAAATGTAACATAATGTAAAGACTAGTAGTTAGTAAGGCCTTCAAGTGCACCTGGGAAACACTTAGGCTACCCCTGAGTCAGATAAAATAATAATTAATAATTGATTACTAATTTGAATCAGTACATTATAACGAAAACAATAGCTTAAAAGATGCAGGTTTTTGCGATCACATCATTTCAATCCAGTAAACTCCTGTCCAACAATATATAATAAATAGATATAATATAGATCCGTTTTTCAGCCATGTTTCAATCGACACGCCCCTTCCACGGTGAAAACTCGGCAACTCGTTTATCATCTAGAACTCTTGGTTATTCATGTGCTCTGAACTGGTAATTAGGATAATTTGATACTTCCGTCTTTCACTTTAAAGGAAAACATACATGTTAAAGCGGCTTGCCACAGTGGTGGAGGGTTCTGAGTCGAGCACTCGCGCACTTTAGAACACGGGTTCAAAGCAGGTGCCAGCAGCAACAATGTAGCAACGTCACAACAAACGAACAACCAAACGTTCTAAACGCTTTCCAGGTTTGACAGCGTCTATAAGGCATGTGGGTCGATCATGGGTGTGATCGTGTTTTTTTTTTTACTAAACCACACTACAATATAAGCAAATCATATTTCTCCATACTTACCCGAAATCCTGATCCATAGATTTGAAAAAGAATTTATAACTGTTGACCGGACGGTTGTTGAGGACATTTTTAAAATCCGCCAACGTGACTTTTTCCGGAGAAACCGTCAGTTTCACTAAATAAGGGGTTTCTTCTTCGTCGATATGGTATATAATTTTGGTCTCCGCCATGAGTAGGCTTATATGGGTAGGAGGAAAAATTGAAATCGCATCATATGACCCCTTTAAAAACTGTACTTCATGTCCTTGCAAGACAAACCTTTGCAAATTTTAAGGGGTTTTATGTATTTAAGCCTGTTTATTTATTAAGGGGTTTCAAACATTAGATTTCAAAAGTTTACATTTAAAAAAAATATTTAAAAAAATAAAATACTCGCAAACATAAAAACATAGCATACAATTGTTGTCTGTAAATTGACAAAACAGAGAACTACTGTCATTGATGTTATAGATTTACATATCACAGATATATCACAAATTTAATTTTATTGTTATTTGTTTGTTTGTTTAGAACCAAACAAATTATACAAACGAGAATATATAATCAAACATGTCAGAGATATATAGAAAAATATACAGAACTATGCAATTGTATGTACAACATTTGTACAAATTAAACAGTTGCATTCTTTGTATTGCTTTCAGGGTTTTACTTTTAGATATTGTTTCCAAATATCTTTTTAATGTCCGTTTTTAAACGGTTTAAACATATAAATGTTTCCATTCCATTTGCTTTTATGAATATAATAACAAGGAATTATAATAATTAAATCAAACACATTAGATTTGTCTCACAATCCAATGAGGAACACATCATCACATCAGCTTAACAACAACCATGTACCTTAGAACATTCCCAAAATAAATTAAGTCTTTTTTTTTTTACAAATAACATTAACTTTTATATTTAATTGTATTGTTATATTGCAAAATTCTACAAATCAGTTTTTCAATACTGTATTTGAATAGAACATACATGGACAATAAAATGAATGAAAAATACTAAATGTTTAACTATTATAAACATTTCATACATTTATAGATAGATAGATTGATAGATTGATAGATAGAATAAATGTTCTGAATTTGTGCAAGCAAGCATGAGCACCAGGTACAGACATTTTGTGTTACAATATATTTTCTAACAGCAGGGGGCAGCTCTGTTCTTCTCTATACTTCCTGTATTCCTTACGTTATTTGAAAATTGTTTCGGAAACACGTCCAGGCCTACCAAAAGTAACACAAACTCCAGGCCCCAATCAGAGTCAATTAAACTCAGTGCTCACATTCTACATTTCACACTCTGCCTCACTGCACACGACAATTAAAGTGAGCTTCCTTTATTTATTAAACTTATTGGAGTTGATTCCACTGGCTCATGGATTTAGTAGTCAATCAAAACAACTTTTTGCAAAGAACATTCTTTTTCTTTGCTCAGTTTGTACTTAAAGTACCAATTTGTCTCTTGAAATGACCTGCTGTAAATGTACAAAACATAGCTTGTTTTAAATATTGCACACCGGCACAGCTAGTTCCCCATTCCTGTGGGACGTATGATATCAATTAAGACACTGCGATCAGAATCTGGTAACAGTGGGGCTCAACATTTGTAGACAACATTTGTAAAGAATGTAGACAATAGAGCTACAATGCCTTACACATGGAAAGAATGAATCTTAAGAATGAATGAAATATTTCAGAATCAACTTTATTATGTTTGTACATTGGTTCTCTATACCAACATGATCATTTATTGCCATTTTAAAGATAAAAGTACACTCCAGATCAAATAAAAACTACTGCATAAATGCTTCATAACCTATGTAAATGAACATCACTGACCAAGGAAATTGCTGAAAAACTGATGATGGAAAAAGATAAATGGGACTTGCTCATATAGCAAAAGCAAATAAGCTACAACTGTACCATCTACATAATGCTGTAAAACAAATACTGTAAAAAGACAATGGACCAAAGAAGTCCGGGTCAACAGGGCTCAAAATTATACGAGAAGTAACATAGAGATACACATACATCAGAATAACAAAAACAGCACATTTAATTGCCTTTGAGGTTCACTTGTGTACCATCTTTTACTATTTAGACCTGAAGCCACAGCTATTTGTTTGCTTCCTGAGTTTTATAAGAAATTTCCATTCAGATTCAGACATTTACAGTGGTTTCTACCACACAGAATTTGAGCTATTTCACTTTTTAAATGTAGAAATTTAACACAGAAGAGTACCAAATGCTGAATTCAGCAAATTGCTCTCCCACATTTTACATATGTTTAACTTGAATTCAATAGATTACCATTACGGTACACTGTGATTATGATAAGAAAAACATATCAATTTAATTGACTTACCAATATCAACAGAATTTGAGTATTATAAGATCATGTAAGCAGTAATTATGCTGCAGAAAGACAGTAAGTCCATTCCTTTTCTCAATGTAAATGTAAAGTCCTTGAATCTCTTCTCATTCAGCACGCTCTGGACCAGCCAGCAGCTCACTATGAATCACGTCCATGACATTCTCTCCATTTCTTCAGTTGAGAGAGAGGAAGACAGAGGAAGAGTGTGTTAATACATCACAATGCATCTGGTTATCCGGAACGAGATTCACTAATTGAGACCACATTACCTCTGTTTAGATCAATAACTTTTGGAGAGGGATAGTTGTTTGCCGCTGCCCTTTCTTTCATTATGTTGTTCTTGTAGTCTAAATAAAAATACAAGGATTTCTTCAATATATGCTGATATAAATATGAAAACATGAAAAATTATGTTAAATCACCATCTATTAATATACATCAGATGAGAGATATTCAGCAAAAAAAATATATATATATCACTGAAAATTCCTTGCTAAAAAACAATAACCAACCAATTAAAAAAAACAATCCTGTGGTAATTTAAACCAAGAGTCTTGTTCTTGTGAATACTGGAGGAAATAAAAATGGATTCTTTAGACTTTCCAGAGCACTAGTTACAGCATCTACAATCTTTTCTGGTTATTTTCATAAAGTCTTAATTTTTAAATGACCTACTTCAGCTTTAAGAGAAATCATGGAAAATGTGGTTGCACTTACCCAGTCGCAAGTCCTCCTGATTGTAGGGTTGCAGTTCTGTGGCATCGAGCTCAATGGATGTCCTCCGACCCCTGCCAAGTAAAGCAAAAGTTATGCTTTTTATGTATTAGCGAGTGTAAAATGATTATTGCGGACTCAAAAACACTGAATGAAGCTGAATTGACAAAACTGGAGAACTTTATCAGTCCATTTAAATCCTTACCGTTCAGACCATCGAACCTCAAACTCAGGCCCTGAAACAGATAGGTCTATAATATGAAATGTCAAAAGAGAGTTCAGTAAGATTCAAGCCTATAATCTCAAAGGTACTAATTATATATTTAAATGTGTTCACCAATCATCCACATGATCCTACTTTTTTTTCTGCAGTGCCTCGTGGTCATAATGATGCCAATGAGCATTAACAGAAGCAGCAGGAAGATTGCCAGGATGTAGCCCACTTGGTGCAATAGGTGAGTTTGATTCTCAGGCAGAATTACATTGAGGACGTGGGGCGCTTCAACCATGTTTGTATCTGCAAAGAAAACATGAGAAGACCAGATGAATGAGAACTCTTAAATATCTGATTTTAAAACATTTAACTACTTTATGCTGTACTAAAAGGCAGGCAAGAAAGAAAGCCGAAAAGCCCTGATTACTAGTTTGTTTTTCCCATTTCACCCAGGCCTGGCAGGCGAGAGGGGAGAGGGACAAGGTTTCATGTCAGAATGGCCAAAACAGGCGTAATGAGTTCCAGACCTGATGTCATGCCGCAGCAATGGAGAAAAAAAACACAAACCACAAGAACGGGAAGCGATAGTGCAGGCGGAGAGAAATACCACCACTTCATGGTCAGTCTGTCTGGAGACATTTTCCACTTATTTAGTGCCCCACAATAAAATTGAGAATTTAGATTTAATCTGCTAAATCTTCAGGGATCGCATGTCAGTAGTGTTTATACGACCAAATAAACCAAACAAACTCACTGAATGCTGCTGTTTGTGTGTTTTACAGTATTGTAAATCTTGTTCTTGGCTTAACAACACAAAAAATGACTTCTTCATCCTAAAACTAACAGACATTATGATTACTTTGAGTCATTATGTCTCATCATCGCAATGAACAATGAAGAATCAAATGAGTTGCACATGGTAAGTGTTCATATTTGTATAATACTGAAGTGTTTAACATTTAACAACGCAAATTGTATTGGAATACAACACATATAAAAAATGTGTGTATTATTTATAATGCCATTTTTGTTTATTGTTTAGAGGACAGCCGGAGAGAAAAAAAGAGGGAAAAATTAACTCATCCAAGTTAAACTGTTGAATGTGCATTAATCTCTAGATAGTGTTAAAATTTTAACAAGAACGTTAAAAAAATATATTATTTAATATCCTTTAAAAAATAGCAATATTAAATTTTTTTTAAATGTTAACTATTTAAAATTTTAAAATAAATATTATGTAAATATATTAAATTAAAAAAAACGGAAGAATTAATGAATTAAAAAATTTATTAAAATTAAATATATTTATAAATATTTTTGTTTTCTTCCCATTTAAAAATTACAAGGTCACATTCAGACAATGCACTAAATCTATAGGATAGCTGACTGACACCACTTCTAGTAGAGTGGGGCAAAATGTTTACAGACATGTGAGGATGTGAATCTAACACAGACCATTCCCGCTTTGAGCTTTCATGTTACAGCGGGCCAGATGTTGTACAGATGTGGCTTTTCATGTCAAAAACCAGCCCATTGCCAATGCAAGATGGGGAATATTGTCAAAATTTATTAAAATTAAATATATCTATAAATATTTTTGTTTTCTTCCCATTTAAAAATTACAAGGTCACATTCAGACAATGCACTAAATCTATAGGATAGCTGACTGACACCACTTCTAGTAGAGTGGGGCAAAATGTTTACAGACATGTGAGGATGTGAATCTAACACAGACCATTCCCGCTTTGAGCTTTCATGTTACAGCGGGCCAGATGTTGTACAGATGTGGCTTTTCATGTCAAAAACCAGCCCATTGCCAATGCAAGATGGGGAATATTGTCTGAGCAATGATGGTAAAATCTGCAAACCCCCTGAAGAAAGCAAGACGTTGCTGTGACCTTTTCTGGGGCTGTTATAGTTTATAAAGTGAGCTCAGCCATTGCTAAGCAGGGGAAATATGAAGCACTCTTCCAATAAAACCTCCCCCACCTCCTTTATGACCTATTCACTACATTTCTGTTGAAAACATTCACTCGTACAAACTCATCTTTACAAGTGTTTTGTAACACAGAGACGGCAATGACAAAGCCAAAATTACTGGAGTGAGTCAATCTGAACAAAGGCAAAAGACAAAGGCATTTTAGACAGCTCAAAAAAGAAAAAAACAAAGAGAGAGATGGAAAGAATACTGTAAAATTCCCACTGCATAATGGAGAAGACGGAGCAGAAAAGTAAACAGAGAGAAAAAGGCAGGAAGTAAATGTAGTTCTCAGACAACAACCCCCACAAACCCAAATACACACGTAAAAGGAGGAGCTGATTTAGCTGATTAGGAAAACACAGAAATATATGTTTAAAAGCTAGGAAAAAGAAAAGTGCACTGTTTTGCAAAAAAATATTTTTCTTTAAGTCTTGTCTGTCATGCAACAAAAAAGGAAAAGAGGCAGAATTTTTTGAAGAATCATTTGACAGATCCTGCCATACAACGTCTGGTCATAAAGACTACAAAGAAAAAAAGCACCATAAAAGTGATCCATACAACTTCTGCACTATATTCCAAGTCTTCCAAAGCCATATAATAGCCTTTTATTGGATCTTGACTTTCCTTTGTCACTTTAAGATCAACAGCTCATTAAAGTTATTCAAAAACTAATGAATTCAAATTACACCATACAGGACTGGAACCAAATTAGAGTAAATAATGACAGAATTTTGCTATTTTCTTCTAAAAAATCAACAATGCAACAAATAAAAGACCTAAATCACATTTAAAAAGATTCTCTTACTTGGGTCATCAGCAGGTGGGACAGGATAAGAAGAATGAGTTTTTGGTGCATCAGTAGAGGCACGTGTTGGAGGCAAAGGCTGGACAGAAGGGCCGACGATCACCCTAAAGATTCGTCTTTCATGTAGGCCACAGTAGTGATGGTGAAGATGGCAGGAATACAGGCCTTTATCAGAGGGCTGAATGTTGTGGACGCTCAGGGAGAAATCCCCCATGGAGAAGGCATCGGTTGAGATGTTCATCTTATTCCGGAGGAAGAGCGGCCCGTATTGCTGATTCTCTCCAGAGGCGTACATATCGATGAGGCGGTCTGCTCGGTCATGGGTGACCCCAGGTGCCTGCCAGTCCCAGCGGACCACCTGCTGCTGGCCCTCGTCCCTCTGACTGTCTGTCCACAATTGCCTGCGGTTCACACAGGGAAGCACCACACTCTTCCCCACCAGAACCACAAAAATGGATTTATCACCATCCCAGACACGTTTTTCCTTTCGAGCTGCAGAGATTGACATTTTTTAAAATAATAATAACGTTTAATTCATATAGTGTTAAATTAAACATATTATTAAAAAAAGATTACATTTGAAAATCATAATGTTTTATGCTCAACTTGGTTGGATTATAAGCACAGAAATGACACACTTCAGTTTAAAGGGGTCATATGATGCTTTTTTAAAGATCATTATTTTGTGTATTTGGTGTAACAGAATATGTTGACATGCTTTAATGTTCAAAAAACACATTATTTTTCAAATACTGTACATTATTGTAGGTCCTCTATGATAGAATAGAATCAGCTTGTAACACTCCAAAGAGAAAGGAAAACTTGAAATCGCATCATATGACCCCTTTAACGTAAACATGCCTAAAACTATGGAAGTACAGAAGCTCATTAACAAGTAAAAAAAAAAATGAAATAAAGCCACATTGTGTGATAAAAAGTCACATTGTTAGACATAAAGACACTATGTGAGATAAAAAGTCACAATTATGAGAAAAAAGTCATATCGCAAGATAAAAAGTCAAAATTGTGAGATATAAAGTCATATTGTGCAATAAAAAGTACTATTGCAAAATAAAAAGTCATAATAGAAATAGAAAGTCATTTTGTGAAATAAAAAGGCACATTCAAAGATATAAAGTCACAGTTTTTAGATATAAAGTCAGTGACTGAGAATTTATTTATTCACTTTTTAACGCCATGCCAGCATCAAGGCTATTTTCATATTTATTGCCGATCTCTGAATAAATCATACAAGGTATACAATTAACAAAAGGTTATAAAAGACATTTCAGATGTACACTAGACAAAAATTCTAAATAAAATTCAGGTGATACATTTGTAAATAAATCAGTTAAACACACCTCTGAATAAAACCGTTGTCTATTTACATTAAAAACAGTACAATCCAATAAAATATGCTTCACAGTCACTTTAGTTTGGCAAGTAAGGCATGATGGTGATTCTTCACCTTTTAATAAACATCCATGCGCAAATCTTGTATGACCTAAAAGACACCTTGTAAAAACAACTTGATCATACCTAGATTTAAAATTAGTAAAAAAAAAAAATGTTTTAATCTTACACTAGGATTTGTTTCATATAGTTTATTTGTCATGACTGAGAAATAAACATTCTCAAATGCGTAAAATAAAGTCACAGTTGTGAAATGTATAGTTGCAATCACTTTTTTTTCTAATTTTTAATTCTGAGGTGGAAAAAGTCTTCCTTTCTTGTGTTTTTCAGTTTTTAAACAAACAATAGATGTGAAGCTTATTCTCTTACGTGATTTAGTGACGTTGAGCTGGATTTGAATGGACTGGTGGACCTTGCAATAGTGGTGATGTAGGTTGCAGGTATAGATACCTTTATCATTCACGTCCACATCTGCGCAAACAAAACAGCAACAGAAGAATGGCAGGTATTAAATATCACGAGAAAAAGAATCAAAAGAGTGACATCGACATGGTCTAAAAGGATGAACCTACTATTAATAACTAGTGAGAAATTTCCATCGCTGAAGGCGTCTTTTGAAATAGTAATTCGGCCCCTGTTGTAGTCGTTGTACAAGCGCTCTCTTCCCGCTGAGAACATATCTAAAATGCGCTCCACAGTGTAATCGGGTTGGTTCCGGATCAGGTCCCAGTGCACGACGCGCTGACGGTCCCGCAGGCGATCCTGTCTCCAAACCATCCGCTGGTTATGACACGGCAGTAGAACATCAGACCCGGCTGGAACAGTAATGTTCCTTGCCTCCACAACCACACTTGGCATGCTGTTTTGGGCCCAGGCTAAAAGACATGCACATACATTACATTATATATTAATCTGGGTTTATGCGGTATGAAAAAACATTGGGAAACTGTGACCAAACAACTGTTTTGTTGCTCACTCACCACATGGTAAGATCAAGGCAGTCCAGACTGAAATGAGAACAAGAACACAAGCCTTAGAATTACTGAAGGTGTAAGTCACACTTAATGACATCATCTGAATATGTAAATTTGGCATCTGCCCTGTAGATGTTTCAAACACCGAACTCTGCCCCAAATCACTGTTTGCATCAGTCAGTGTTTATATTGTAAATGCAGACACATTAAAACAGTTCAGAACTGCATAAGACTTATTACTAAATACTGCATTTGCTGCTATGCCAACACAAAGAGAAACAGCACAGAGGATCCATTCATTCCCTCTCAGCAGTCAGACCTGTAATCCAGAAGATAAATACTGACTTTCTGAAGGCCTCAGTCTCCACAACCATCACGAAAACTACAGCAAATGTCACCTAATCAGAAAAAAAATCTATCTATGGTTACGAAATAGAAATGGTCAAGGTCACAGTACATGGACAGTCAACTACCACCATCCAACACCAGATGTGTAATCATGTGAGGAATGCAAGGGGTGAATTTGTGATTTGCTTGTTCATTTTTTTTCTTGTCTAAACAAGATTTGATCATCATTAAACATTGACGTGTCTTGCCACATTAAACTAAATCTATAAAATGAAATAATAAAATGTATATACTAATGAATTCATTTTAAAAATAAATAAATAAATAAAAACAGAATGCAAGACAAGCAAAAAATGACTGTCTGCCTCTGTAATTCAATTAAATAT